TTAAAAATATTAGTAAGATAGAAAAAAACAAAATGTTTCTAACCTCTTTTTGAAAAGAAACCCTACCTGATCCCTATATGCTGCCATGTTAGTGGTCTCAATATCAGAGTTCCTACCAAGAACACCATTTTTAACCGTTAATGTTGGGTAGTGGTCTGCCATATGATCCAAGAGATCTGGTAAGTAGGACGCAGAGTTGTGCACAATACCCATTACATGAAATGCATTGCCATTTTCATCTTCTCCAAAAACAACCTAGAAGACAGAGATATTGAGGTTTAGTGGTTGCATATGATTATTTTAAACTTTCTTTTCAAAAGAGAGAGCAAGAGGCCAGTCAAAATTTTGTTTCTTTCTTACCTTAAAATACTCATCAGAAAGTTCATTCATTTGATCTGGAGTTAGGTGGTTAAGTTCTTCTTGATACATGTGAACTACACTTGCTCCACCATTAGGATGAGTTTCTATGTGCATATACTGTGCATAACGGTACAAATCAGATGATGGATGACTATAATGCTCTGGTTTGGAAATGGAGCTAATTGAAGAGGGTCTCTGGGCTGGGTGCCAATTTAATGTGGACGGTGGCGGAGGTGGAGCTGGCTGTAGAAGCTTCCCTATGCTTTTGTCTCTTCTGCATTGAACTCCAATACTGGCTCGTTTAATTTTTGATCTTTTGTAGCAGCGAGAGCAATGATGAGAAGAAGACCGATGATCTTTCCTGTCAGAGTCTCGGCGACTACTTTTGTGACTACTAGACCCACTACTGCTGGGTCTTCTTTGTGGTGGCTTTTCTTTATCTTTGAGAGAAGAGATATTGGTTTCGCATTTCAACTTAAATTCTTCAATAGACTGTCGCTTTTCTTCAGAAACTTTTGCTACAACACTAATTTTTGATTTATTGTCAAATATCTCTTTATCTTCTTTCACATTGACTGGTACTTCAGCTTTGGCTTTGAAGGATTGTTTGTCCTCTTCTTTTATTAAAGGCTCGTTTGTTGCACTGTCAAATTTGTCAACCTTTTCTTCTTTAACTGCAACCTTCTCACAATAGGATGAGCTGTTCAGGTAAGAAGGACTAAGATTATCAATAGTTGGTTCAGAGGGAAGATTATCATTTTTCTTCACTTGTTTTTCACAGGGGGAACTATCACAATTCGGCAGCAGCTCTTCAGCACTGGTCAGTGCAGTGACCTCTAAGGAAACACTGCTGTCAACAATGCAACTACTTTCATACAGCTCATCCTGACATTCTACTGGCTCAATAATTTCTTCCTTTATGACTTCATCAGTACAGTGGTCTTTAACTTCCTCTTCTGTGGCACAAACAATTTCATTACATACTTCTTCTTGATGACAAACCAGTACCTCTGCACCAATGCTTGGGCCAGAAGTGGATTCTCCAGGCCACAAGTCTCCACTAACGTATGAATCAGGTAGAGATGCAATAGGCACATGATGTGAAGAGAGGGGCACTTCAGAAGTGTTCATAGGAGCAACAGTGTCAGAAACAGGGGTTTCTGGTGGTGTTGTGAGGGGTTCACTGTTGGCCTCTTCAAGCATTACCTATAATAAAAATTTGAAAATGAAAAATTACACCTCTAAATTATAATAAACATAATAAACAAAGCTTACATATCACATGCCAACTTTTAACTTGCTTACTTTTTCTGGGCATATATTTTGGTTCTTGATTGAACAGTCGTCATCACCACTGTTTCCTCTATCTTGTTTAGGAAGAGACACATCCTTGTCCTTTAGTTTCAATCGCTGCTCTTTGTCAACTTCCTTTGTACTGTTTCGGTCCTTTTCTTTGTCTCTTTCTTTACCTTTGACTCTGTCATGAGTTTTAGCTCTGTCTTTGTCCTTGTGTCTCTCCCTATCCCTGTCTCTCTCTCTTTCTCGGTCTCTGTCCTTATCTCGGTTTCTGTCCCTTTCTCTGTCTCTTCCTCTATCTCTGTCTCGATCCCTGTCTTTATCACGATCCCTATGTCGATCTCTATCTCGAGAACAGTCTTTGCCATGGTGTCTATCCTTTTCCTTGTGTTTCTTTTTGTGTTTCTTGTAATCTGGACTATCCGTAACCTTCTTAGCTGTTTGCCCTGAAAACCATAATGATAATAACAAATTATGAACAGTTCTACAGACTGGAAATGCAAATAGTCACTACTGTACTTATTAGGAAACAGATTGGCATCAAATTGCACAGACACTAGTGATTTAGCTTATATAGGTCTAACAATTGTCATCCACAGCAAAGAGATACATGGGGAAGATATTACAGCAAGATTACTAGGTTATGAACATAATAGCATTTCATAAACAACTATGGAAAAGCTTACATATAAGATAAGATGTATATTTTTTGTTTATAGGGGCATATCAGTAAATGACGAGTCAAGTTTAAAATGTGTCTCCGATAAATACCTTGCAAATCTCCATTTGAAGGCGTTGTGATTGCCGACTTCGATACATGTCCACCTTCCCGAGCGTAAGCAGTAGGTTTCGCCATTCCGCTCATATTTGCGCTGAACGGAAGGTCGTGAGTTGCACTTTTTCCATACTTCGAAACATAGCTTAAACTGTTACTCCCCACATCACTCAATCTCTTTTCTTGGGAATCATGGTGCAACTCTGTGTTTACTATTTTCCTCACAACACAGTCCGCAGATGACGCCGTTTCGAACAAACCAGGAAGATTCCGGTAACTGTGGGCTTCGCGCTTTTCCAGAGCGCTGACAGGCAACCCCCGCTTCACCTCATCGTTCGTTGCATCATAATTGATCACAGTTTTTTCAAGATCGTGTGAAGTGCTGCTTTTAGATTTGTAAAATTCACTTGACGCAGGACTTCGCATTCTGTCGGATGCCATGTTGATTTCCTCCTCAACGACGAGACGGGTGCGCAGAAAGCTAGTTCGTTTCTACGGCCAACGCCGATTGGCCAATGTAAAACCGCGCATAATTCTGATTGGCGACTCGGGACCCAGCTCGTGGCCGAAACACGAATCGCGTGCTTTGTAAGAAGGACTCTGGCCATGCGAGGACGTTTACTATTCGCCTTGTCTCTTGTGTCAAAGGAGTTTATTTACAGACGACGTTTTTTCTGTAAAAAGGCAGTCCCCCCCCTACCCCTTCCCACCCCTCAAAAAGCAACCACGTTAATAGGCAGTCGTTTATTTTTAAAGTTCAGGCCTCTTAAGCGATCTAAAAAGAATATAACCGAGTAAATTGGTAAAAGTCTTATTAAAGATACCTTTACAATCATTCATTTCATTTAACGTCGTTTAGCACGTTAAAGTGACTAGTGCGTTTGGCCGGCCATCCCTACTACGCCAAGTCTTGAGTGTCTTCGCTTCTCGCCCTCTTCTGTAGGAAGGCGAGTAAAGAGTACGATGAGCGAATAATCTAGAAGGTGGAAGGTAGAATGTAGAATGTGGAAGGCGGGCTTGCCTATCCCTCGCTTACTCACGGCTCCTTATGGCCCCGTGCGAGTAGGCAAGCCGGCCGCCCGCGCTAGCGCTGATGCACATCAAAATGCACATTAAAGGTCCCACATATTTTTTTCGTGTTTGCAGTGCGCATCAGTGCATAAAATGCGAATTTGATGCTCACAGTGCGTATTACATATCAAGTTAAGCCTTGGAACGACGTAAAGTTAAGCACGCGTGAGCGTTTCACGTGAGATGAGCGTCCTGGTGAGAGGCAAAATGACGCGAAAATTGACAAACCCATAGATTTTTAGAGAGGAGGGACTAAGAAGAGTGCAATCCTGCAAAAATATTTTCAATTTGAAGTCGTTTCGTTTAGTATATGGCACCGCACATTGCTCGTGTGAGCGCTCATCTCACGTGAAACGCTCACGCGTACTTAACTTTACACGCCCCAGCCCATGCCGCAGTTTGGGCTTGGGCTTGCGCGTTCGGCTTGGCTTAACTTAAATAACAATGGGCTAAAAATGTGGGACATATTTTGCGCATTGGCGCTACTAGCGGGAGCACCAAGAGACTACAGAGACTACAAGAGACTCTCTGTAGTCTCTTGGGAGGACGCAGAAGAAGCGCCTGTCGAATGGGCTGCCTACCCACCAGGCGTTGCGTTGCGTCAAGTGCGCCGGTAGGCGGAGAGCTCCCTAGACTGTTCGACTTCCGCTGCCGATCTCAGATACTGCCAACAGCCCTCAAAATTCTAGTGTTCTGTTTACCTTTCTGCAGACAAAACACGAAAATCCGAGGTTGGCACCGGGGAAGTCGGAAAATCTGAGGAGCCCTCCGATCACCTTACCCTACTGAACTCGTGTTGGCGACGTGCGCGGACAAACTTGCCTCCAAGAACAGCGGCAGTCCCACGTGCACGTTTCCCACGACAACGGCTGGGACTTTCTGCGAGCGCATGCTGGCGAACTTAACGATGTATCCGATCTCCTGACCCTGCAGGTACCAGTTGCCGAACTCCAACCCGAGCTGCACTTCCATGGCCTATGCACAATTAGTAAATTATAATCTGAACTGTATTGCGCTGTCGGGGTGAGGAAGCAAGTTGCACACCTGGTCACTGAGCAGCGTGCCCATGTAACACAGGACAAAGGCCTCGACGGTGATTGTGGCGGCCAGGACGACGAAGCGGCTGTTCCCGGGATCCATGGGGTCCTGTGAACGGGGGGGGGGGGGGAGTTTATCCGATTTACACAAGAGTAAGGTGGCCAGGCCAGCGATACTTTTTGATACTCACCACAGATATTTGGAACAGAGCGACACATATTATGAAACCTATGGTGCCGAGCTGGACCGCCACGAAAGGGGAGAGTACCTCGCACGTCTCGTCGGCTAGGCTGCAAGGAACCCCGAGAAAACATCAAATTGAGGCTGCGGGTGCCGGAGAACAACTCGCAGAGAAACGGGCATGCGTGCCAGTTGACACCCCACCTGAGGACACCCTGGTGCAACTTGACGCCTTGTACGAGCCTCTCCCTGGTCCGTCTCTTCGCCGCCGTGTCCCAGGCACCATCTGGAAGGCCCTCGGCCTGTTCAAAGACTGGAATCTCAATGAGCCCAACCGACCCGCCTCTGCAGTCGCAGGCCGAGGCCGAGGTGACAAGAATCCTCTAGGAGTACGAGGCTCGCAAGAGTGCGCAAGTACCTCCGCCTGGAAGTAGCCGTGCAGCGCGCGGAACTGGCTCTGCACCACCAGGAAGCTGTTGAGGAAGAGCGCGGACAGGGCGCCGGACCCGGCCACAGTCAGGACCACCCCGACAGCCTCCACCATGAGCAGGATGCTCAGGGTTCCCGGGGCATCCTGAAACAGAGCCGTAGGCACCACAGGGCAGAGCCGGGTACGTAAACATAGTGAGGGACTTCCCTCTCTGCGGTTCCCTGCGGTTGCTCATCACCAGCCCTGGGGCTGCTGTACTCTCCACACCTGTCGGAACGGCGTCCAGATGGCGATCGGCAGCGCGTTCTTGCTCTTGCCCGTCGAGGTCACCACCACGCCGAAGTTGAGTCCCGTGAACAGGAAGCCGGCGAACGTCCGGATGGCCACGTCGCGGCAAACCCTGCGCTGGCGCTCCAGGCCCTCGGGACCCACCCCGGTCGCATGCAGCACGTGCTCGAGCTGCCCGTCGATCTGCGTACAGCACGTGCCACGTGCAAGGAGATGAGCACGGCACGAACAACACAGCGCACCGGCAGGACAGGCGCGGATTAAGGTCCGGCTGACAGGGGGGGCGATGCACTGTCGGTTGCCTACATGCAGGGGTTTTGTGGCGCAAATTGCCTACCTTTCAGGCGGGTCTCTAGAGACGACAGGAGGGGGGGGGGGGCGATCGCCCCCCTCGCCTGCGGCAGGACAGTCTCTCACCCTGTCGAGGAGTTTCAGCAGCCTGGGCTCGACGTCTGTGAGGACGACCAGCTGCAGTAAGCTGAAGGCGATGCACAGCACGTCGCTCAGGTTCTCCGTGATGTTGCGTATGTTGTCCGTGTCCAGGGCCGTGTGCACCACCTTGGTCGTGATGAAGGCCACGTTGCAGACCATGTTCACGTTGAAGAACGCCCTTTGCGCGGCCGCCCTGGCGCGGGCCCACGCCCCGTCTGTACGCCCGTCCCCGGGCCCGCCGGCTGGGGGTGCAGGCTGGCGCCAGAACCCCGTCCACCGGAGCAGAGTCAGGTTGGTGACAAACAACGTCGTGTCGTCCGGGGTCCTGGGCCGAGGCTTGGAGCCCCGTTCGTTCCCCCTCCCCCGCGAGGCTCTTGTGCGCAAGAACCACGCCGGGAACTTCGCGGGCACGTCCTTGTCCCCCATCGTGTAGTGACGACGCGGTACGACCGTTTTGCCAAATGGAGTCGGAAGCCTCTCGTCTCCATAGCAAAGTACCCTGTCATTTGGTTCAGCCCACCCCAAAAGCAAACATACGAAAACGTGTGGTCTCTGACACGAACCTCCTCTGCCATCGGGGCATTTCTTATTGAAAAGGACGTTTGCACGGCGAGAACCAAACAATCCGTATCAAAAATTGATGCAAATCGTTTATTTTTTGTGACAGCGTCTCATTTCTTCTGTTTGCCCCTCGGTGGAGTCGCAAGAGCGACGTGGTTCGTTCAGAACAGCAAAATACATCGACTGAAAAAGGAGAGCTGCTTAGGTTGCACACTTTACTTTCCAGATCGCTCGTCATTCCTCCGCAGCTGGCACTGCGTCGCCCTCCCCGCCGGCCGCGGAGGGTCTCCGGGGGCCTTCGGGAGCGTCGCCCTCGCCAGCCTCGTTGAGAAGCTGCTCCTCGGCGGCGACGTCGGCCGCGGTGGCGTCGGCCTCCCCCTCCTCGCCGGGCTCTCTCTCCTGCTCCGGTACCGCCTCGCCGTCGCCTAGACCCTGCTCCTGAGGCGCAACAGCAGTGTCCTGCCCCTCTAGTGCCTCGCCCAGCACACCCTCTGTTGCGGCTTGCTCTCCAGCCTCTCCCACCGCTTCCTCGCCTCCCTCTTCGGCATCGTCCCCCTCGGTGGCCAGGGCCCTTGGTTTGGCCTTGACTGGTGCCACATCATCTTCCTCCTCTGGCTCCTGCACCTTGACGATTTCACGCAAGTCGTCCTGACCGGCTCGCGCGACTCTGGCACCAAAAAACTCGTCGACGTCCGCCTTCGCGATGGCGGGCGTGGCGCTGATGTACAGCGGGCCGGCCGTGGCGAGCTCGAGCAACGGTGCGCTCCGGACCCGCGTCACCTCCAAGACCACGAGGGTCTTGGCGGTCTGCAGCCCTCCACGCACCAACTTCTCGTAGTCTGGTCGCGAGCTGGCGAGCAGCTTCCGGCTCTGCAGAGGACAAAGTGGAGCGCGTATAGGGCAGGGGCGTATTAAGCGGGAAGCAGGTAACCGCCCACTCTGTGGTCCTTTAGATGGCCACCTAAAGATAGACAATTTGATCTACCAAACCGCTGTATGGTGGCAACTTTCGGTACCCCCGCCCCCCCCCCCCACCCCCAGCGTAAGGAAAGGTGTGCCGTGAAAT